TATATATAGGTATATATGTAGTAGCAACATTTGAAACGTAAGTTGATTTCAAGGAGACCTCCTTTCAGTGGAATTTACATTTGCATTATCTCCCCTTACTATCGACTAAAAAACTTGATAATGAAATAGAAATATATTTTAAGAGTATTTGAGGTTTTTTCTCTTTTTTTTGGTATTTGAGTCTTCTCAGCGATAAATATAAACTTATCTTATTGATATTAATTCAATGTACTGTAAAATTAATTCAATTAGTTGAGCATGGAAAAAAAAAATTTATTTGATTCAAATAACCGATTACTTTGACTTAAATTAAATGTTTTCTTAAATGATTATTTGAAATGTTTACTTTTTTAATCAAATATAATTGTACCAAATAATTTTTCTTTAAAGATCAAATCAATTAAATCGTATTTGCTTCAAATATATACTGAAATTATTAATTTAAATTTGTAATTATTCGTTCAAATACGGAAATTTTCGAATATTTAAATATTTGAAATTAAAAGTTTGAAAAACAATTTATTTGATTTAGATGAAAATTATTTGATTCAAATAAATATTTATTTGATAATAGACAAAATTAATTGATTGTTTGAATCGAATGCATTTTTTTCAGTGTAGAAAACAAAAAATTATAAAAATAGAGAAATTCGACACTTAGATAAAAGTTTATAAAAATATTAATTTTTTCATTTTTATACTTTTGCTGTATAAATCGAAAATTAGTTAAATTAGTTTTGAAGAAGACAAGGAATGAGAAATAAAATAAAAAAAACACATAAATATGAGGAATTTATATAACAAAAATATTGTAATATTGCAAAAATTAAAAATTAAAAATTAAAAATATAAAAATGTTTAAATAAAAAATATTAATTCAATATAGTGTAAAATTAGTTAAATTATTTTTTTAGAAAATTATATAAAAAAATAGAAACGCAAAACAAAAAAGTATTAAAAAAAATAAAATCTAGAATGAAGAAAAATAAAAAAATTCATTAAAGATATATATATGAAAAGAATGTAGAAAAATAAAAAAATTAATAAAAATACGAAAAAAGATAAAAATATGAAAAAATATAAAAATATAGGAAGTAATAAAAATGTAAAAGTAGTAAAAAAAATTTGATAAAAATATGAAAAAATAAATTAAAATTTTTAAAAAAATATAACAATATTTATTTATTATTATTTATAAGAAAGACAATAATTGAGAATATCAATAAAATAAATTAAATTGACAACTTTAAAGAAACTTTAATAGAAAAATAAATATTTTTTTTATATATTTATTTTTAGACGCAGAGGATAAAAAAAACAAAAGAGACGAAAGAAAATCGAGCAAATTTCTTTTTATTCGCACTGTATGAATTCGTAGAAGCATAAATATCATTAAAAGAGCTTTTAAGAGTTGAAACACGTGCAAAAAAAAGGAAGAACGAAACGCAAAGCTTCTTATAATGCTACTGTCGAGAGACAGTGTAATCTCGTGCTTGGCGGTATTTTTTTGACAATAAAGAAGTCGTTGATCTTGATTTTCTTTTTTGCAGTACGACGCGCGAAGGACGTCATTCTTAAAAAATTTTCGGTCAACTATATGAGGAGAACCCTCTTGGCATTCACGTTCATCACATTGCCGCTTATTAGGCGCTGAGCAATTATTTACAATTATTATTTTTTTTTTTATTTTAAAATCATTTTATATATCTTAATTATAAGGAAATCATTTATATGTCTAATATCTTTATTCGGAAAAAGAAAATTGTATATTTTATTTTTTTCTATTCCATTTGGTTCGTATGAAAATTTTAGTTGGTAAAAATAAAATTTTTATTTACCTACAAAATTATAGTACAATTTTGTTTTAAATAACATTTTTATTTACCTTCAAAATTATTGATTTCGCTTTAAATAAAAATTTTATTTTTATCGAATAACATTTTTTTTTTTTTTTTTGAAAATTTTACACTTACGGAATAAAATTTGTATTTAAACCAAAAAAATTTATTTTTTAGTTTCTGAGACAAGTATACTAGTAATTAATTCAAATATAAATTATATTTGGGTTTTAATAAAAAAATTTTTAATAAATAAAATTATTTTTATAATAATAACAATAATAGTTATTGTAATTGTCATAATAAAAAAATTATTATTTTAGTATGAGAATAGTCGGTTAGAATGAATAATAAATGTTCAGTGGAAATTTTGTTCTATAGAGTTAATTTTTTTCTTTTCATTTTATTTTTTTTTCTCTGTTTGATTTCTGTTGATATACTTTTGGAATGAGAGCAAATAAGTGTTTTTAGGCCCCTTTCTTTCAGATAAAGATCGACCGTGAGTGCAAGGTCTCGATTCGAATGGTCATATTATGCAACGGGTGCGTCCAACTTACATAATATCGCACCCCAATTGAAAAAAAGAAATAATATATTCAAATGGTGCACATTCGAACGCACGTGCGTCCTCGACTTTTCATATTTTTACCCTCTAATAGCCCCTCACTTTATTCAAAGTCACTTGAAAATTTTTCACAAAAGAGTCCGATTAATTATTTTAACAGACGAAAAAAAAAACAAGAGAAGAAAATAATTCCAATCTTGTAAAAAAATTAATTTCATTGTTAAAAAAAATTCAAAGTCAATTAATTTTTTATAATTATAAAAAACAACTCGTAAATGATTCAGAAAAATCACAAAAATTTAATTCTACATTTTTTTTTTATAATTACCATAAAAAATATTTACATTTTTTCTTGCTAATAATGTAAATTTTTAATTTTTACAAAATGCAATAATTTTCTAAATTTTAATTTTAAATTCAACAAAAATTCAATTATATATTTAAAAATAATTTTTAAATGTAGAAAACAAAATTTTTTTCAATGTACAATTTATTTCAATTAAATTTGACAATATTTCTAAATAATTGAAAATATAATTTAATCTTTTTAAAATAATGTACGGGAATTCAACTATCTTGAAAACATTTTTTAATTACAATTTTTCAAAAGACAAATATTTTTCATAATTTTCAAATTAAATTACACTCAAAACTTGAATAATTTTTGTTAAATAAATATTTAAATACTTATTTATTTATCCACAGAAATTGCAATTTTTTTTAAATATGATTACTGTGTAAAATACTTTTTTGAAATATAACAATTTCTAAAAATTGCAGCTGCAATTCTTTCATAATTCAATAATTTTTTTTTTATTGAGGTTTCTAATTAAAATTATTCAAAACTTTAATAATTTTTTAAGAAAAAAATAAATTTACATTTTAAAAAAAAATAAAAACTTGAATATTGGTACTGTTTTATAATAATTAGATTTTTCTGGAAAATTTTCAAAAATTATAATTTAGAAATCTTTTGAAATTTAATTATTTCTAAAAATTTATAATATAATAACACTTCTAATATTTAATTATGAACTAAATTTTAAATTGAAATTCAATTTTAAATCACCTCTTTCTTATAAAGTTCTAAGAAAATTCAATTATTTAATTATAAAAATAAATAATTGATTGAATAATGGAATATTTCTTAAAATTGAATTCTTATAAAGATTTTTAACAACATTTTTAAAAATTATTGCATTTTTTCGAGGAATTTATTTAAAATTCAAAATTTATACACGTATATAAATTTTGTGAAACGTATTTATAATTTATAAAAATAATTTAAGTCTTGCAAAGAATAAAATTTTTTAAATAGTTGATTGTGTTAGAAAAAGTTTATGAAAATGGTATTTTAAGTCATTGAATTCCTGTAAAAATTTTATTATCTATGAAAATAATTAAATTTTTGCGAAGAAATTTATTAAAATTATATTCAAAATAATAGAATTTATCTAAAGTATTTTATTATTTATGACAATAATTGAATTCCAGCGAAGAATTTTATTATTTACTTGACTAATTGAATTCTTACAAGTTTTTTTCGACGAATTTAATTAAAATTTTATTGAAAATAATTCAATTCTTATATAAAGAATTTTAATAAAATTTTTTTTAAAATAATTGAATTTCTTCGAAAAGTTGCATTAAAATTTTCAAATAATTAAATTCCCGAGAAGTATTTTATAAAAATTCTTTTAAATTAAATAATTGATTTTTTTTCGAAAAAATTCAATGAAAATTGTATTTTAAATAATTGATTCCTATAAAAATTTTATTATTTATGAAAATAATTGAATGTTCACAAAGAATTTTATTAAGATTCTTTTAAATAATTTAATTTCAGCGAAGATTTTCTTTATTTGGAAAAGTAATTGTATTTTTACGAAAAATGTTCTTAAAATTTTTGAAAATAATTGAATCGTTTCAAAGAAATTAAAAAAAATTTTGAGAATAATTTTTTATTTTAATTATTAGCTGATTTAAAGCAGTGAAAATTCTAAAGAAAAAAGAAAAAAAAGTTGCTTTTAGTGTCACAAATCTAAAAAAAAGTATTCAAATAGTAGCAAATCGTAAAAAAAAGTAGTAATTAGTTGGTTTTAGTAAATGAGTGTGAAGCCTATGATCCTTGTAATATTTCTTTTAATTACTTAGGTGATTCTTGAAATCATTTAATTTTTTTGTAAAAATGATTTGAACAATAAAAATTTTAAAATTTTAGAAGACCAAAAATGTTTGGTCTCTAAAATTTTAATCAAATGATTCGTTCGTTTAAATGATCAAAAATTTTTTTCTCTTTAAATATTTTTCAAAAAATTATAGTGATACCAAAAAGAAAAATAATTAAAATTAAACATTTCTTTAATTAAAAATCCTCTTTTGGATATGAAAAATAATTTTTTTGATATATTAAAATTAACTGAAGAAAAAACTTTTTATCTTCTTTCTAAATCATAATATTTTTCTCTTCGAATCTATATACTCGTTGCACTTGTATTCTTCCTATTGGTCAACAGTGAATCTATTCACTGATAAAGAATTTGCTTTCAAGCTCAACTCGTTACACCTGTAGTTTTTCTACTGGCGAATAGAACATTAAATTTAGAGATATTTTAAATTTATAATACCAAATATGACAAATAACAAAAGTTGGCAAATTGCGTTACATTTAGTCTTTGGTTACGTGGCACTAAGTTTGAAACAAAAAAGAAATCTTGAAGTTCGTCTGATTATTCCTGTGTTTGACACCAAGAAGGTAAGCGAATATAATTTTAACAATCAAATTAATATTTATTCCAATTATTTTATTAGTAATATTTACAGATTGTAAATTAGTACTGCTTAACATAACAGAAACAGTGCTCCTTTTTTTGTACCAATTTTTAATAATTTTTATTTTATTATTAATTTTCTCTTACTCAATAGAAACTGAAATTTAATTACAATTAATCTAGTCAATAACTTTTTATACTTTCAGAGCTTTAAGTATTAACTGAAAAAAGTTGCAATATACTGTTTAAAATCATGATAAGATTAGCAATAATCTGCTTCCTAATTTCGATGATCAGAAGCGAAGAATGTATTTTCAATATTGATGAAGTAGATGAATTAAGACAACTTTTCCATGATTCTGAACGTCGAATGGAAGCAGCAACTCGAGGTCAAAGTGGAAATGCGGCAATTGTCATAGGCAGTGCAAGAAGTGGCAAAAGTACATTAATTAATTACTTGATGGGAAATGCATTGATTGCTTATAAAGAGAAACGTGAAATAAAAATAAAAAAAGCTAACAATAATGTCAGAGGACCAGAAATTGGTGCTGGATCAGTGTCAGTGACTACAATTCCCACAAGATGGAACTCAGAAAGGTCAGCATTACAGAATTTGGACATCTGGGATACTGCTGGATTTGCGGACAATAGAGGTGTAATGCAAGATTTTAATAATTCCTTTCATCTGTATCATTTGACAAGAAAAGTTAATTCTCTGAAATTTATTTTAGTTATCAATTTTGATGACATTGATACTGACAATATTGAATGGATTAAAGGACTTTTAAATACTTTAGAAAGTTATTTTACTGATAGGTTTAGAAACTTTTTTCCAAGTATATCAGTAATTATCTCAGAAGCACCTCACGTGAATGATTTTCAATTTCTAGTCAATTATGAATACATAAATAAAAAATTAAATACGAGTTTATTATCAAACTCACAATCGTCTGTATCCGAAGTTTTAAAAGACTTTGAACGTCATATAATAAGACATAACCAACAAGTAGCCTTCTTCAGGAAAGTGAAAAAAGTAGGGAGAGTTACTTCTGACATCGATGATAATATTATTCCAGCTATTAATAACTGCGATAGCATAAAAAAGCCATCTCATCAGGATATAGGTTTAACAATTTCACAAGAATCAAAACTTTGCCTACTAAGTGCGAATGAGGAGTTGATGTCTTTAAATGAAATTTTGAAATTTGAGACTACACTGAACAACTCGTTCTCTGCTTTTTGTCAATCCAATGATACTAATACTTTACAAACCAATAAAGCCGATTTGAATAGAATCAACGAAAGCTTGAAAACTTCTTTAGACAATAATTCTGTTGCAGAGGTTAAAATTCAAATTCTGAAAATGATTAATGATAATTTGAAAAATTACATCAAAAACGAAAAATTGGAGAATAAAATAAGCCTAATTAAATTTATTGATTCTATACTTAAAACAAAGAGAATGAGTTATATAGCTACTGTAGTAAATGGTCTTGTTAATGGCGTACAAGCAAAAATCCGCTCATTGTTAACAACATGTTCACATAAATTAAATGAAATAACAAAGAATGAATTTAGAAAAAAGTTGAAGATTCCAAGAACTTAAAAATAATAACTAACAAATGTGAAGTATTATATTTCTGTGAGTCCTTACTCACCTTTTTTTCATGAAATGTAAATGAGTAATGTATGGAAGAACTTAAACAATTGTAAACTAAAAAAGATGTTATTGTTTACTGTATCTAAATAAAATAATGTTTTACATTAATATTAAAAAATAAATTCCATAACTTAAAAAAATACATTTCGATTTTTCACTTTCCATTTCTAATTTCTAAGTAATCCGAGAAATTTCCAAAAATGACGCTTAACGATAATTGATTAGAAATTTTAATCCAGATTACTAATACTGTTTCTGATCAAAAAATAAATTTAAAACTTTTAATCAAAAAATGTTGTAAGGGTATATTTAACATTTTATTATGATTAGATTAACCAGAATTCTCGTAAATTTAACGAGACTTTTTTTTGTGATATTGAAACACATGACAATTCTTGCATTAAAATAAATAAAAAAAATTTTTTTAAATAAATAAAAATTAATTAATTAACTATAATAATTTGAATGTTCTTTCATTCATTCACTTTTTCTGTCCCTCACACTCTGAAGTTGTCGTTTGCTTATAATTTTGTTTTTTTTGTTAACTTTAGATAAATTGTATATTTTATTATTATGTTTATAATTATTTTTATATTTTATAATTAATTCAAAATTGAAATGACAAATAGAAATAATCAGAATTTTTTTTCACTTCTTTTCATTGAAAGACTAAAAGATTGTTAAACATTATGTTTTGTCAAATTGAAATTATGCAGATTTTTGTTCTTTACTTCTAAACAAAATTAGAAAATTGTTATTTACTTTCTAATAATTGAAGATGACCGAGAGATAAAATCATTATTTTATATTATAAGAATATTTTTACTGTATAGTTATTGTGATGTTTTTACATCAAAATTATTTTTATCATTTTAATTCAATTATTATTTTCTAGAATTTTAAATTATTTTTTATAAAAATAATTGAATTTCTCTGAAATTTTTCTTATTTATGAAAATAATTAAATAAATTGCATACAATTTTATTAAAAATTTTTTTTAAATAATTGAATTCTTTTTGGGAAATTTTATTAAAATAGTAGATATTGAAAATCATTGAAATTAGAAAAATGCATTTTATTTTTGAAAATAATTGAAATTAGGACAAGATTTTTTTTGACATATTTATGAAAATAATTGAACTTTGGAGAAGAATTTTGTTATTTATAAAGATAATTGGGATTTTTGAGAGAATTTTTTTTCAATTTTTGAACATAGTTGAATTTTATAAGAAGAATTTTATTTATTTTTTTTTTTGCAAATAATTGAATTTCTGTAATTATTTGTAATTTCTTCAAAATTGAATTTTTTTTTAGTGTTTTCAACAAAAATTTAAATTAGAAAATTTTTAAATTCTATTATGTAGTTCCAATAAATTTTATTTCGATAAAACAATAGTTTGAATAAATTGTGGTTTGAAAAATTATAGTTTGAGTAAATTCTATTTTGAACAAATTTTAGTTTAGAAAAATAATGGTTTGAATAAATATTAAAATAGTATTTTGAAAAAATTCTTATTTCAATAAATTCTATTTCGAAAAAAACAATAATATTTGAGTAAATTCTATTTCGAAAAAGTAATAGTTTCAAATAAATTTTTGTTTGAAAAAAAAATACTTTTAATAAATTGTAGTTTGAAAAAATAATAGTTTAAAAAAATTGTATAGTTTGAATAAATTCTAGTTCGACAAATTAATAATTTCTAATTTCGAAAAAAGACTAATTTCAATAAATTCTAGTTTGAAAAAATAATAATAGTTTGAGTAAATTCTATTTCGAAAAAATGATAGTTACAATAAATTTTTGTTTGAAAAAATAATAATTTGAATAAATTGTAATTTGCAAAAATAATAGTTTTTTCGACACGTTTTTTACACTCATTTGAAAATGATCGCAGTAACAAGCAAATTTTTTGTTAACCGACTTCTAACCACTAGAATTGCAAATGTTTTTCTCGCAATTCAATTATTATTGGTTTTTTTTGTTTCTATTAAGATTCCGCAAAATTGTTCAGTTTCGTATACTAATTGCAAGTGACCCCGGCTTAGAAAGTTAGAAACAAATAATCAATTAGAAAATTAGAAAGTCTGTGTTTTTTTTTAAATATACACTTTAACTCGGTGGAATTTTCATGCCAATGATGATAAAAAAATACTTGCATTCCTTGCATACTCTCACAATAACAATGCTTCGAATAATTTTTTGCTCACTTTTTTTTGCTTTTAATTGTAAGCATATAAGTATTATAATTTTTATTTTTTATTATATTTATTTAATTCATATATTACTCTTTATATTTTGTGATTCATTTCGTATTTCATTTTTTCTTTTACATTTTTTTTTCTTACTTTATTAATTTTTTTATTGTTTCTTGTTTTTTATTTATTTTCTCTTTGGTTATTTTTTATTATCATGTTTTTTTTATTTTTTTTTCTATTTTAGTTTCTTTCCTATTGTTTCTTGTATTTATTTATTTAGTTTTTTTTATTGTTTCTTATATTTTCTAACGGTTTATATTTTTTTACATTTTTTATTTATTTTTTTATTTCTCTATTATTTTAGTTATTTTTTTTATTATTTTTTTTGTTTTTTATTTATTCTTCATTTTTTCCTATTTATTTTATTTTTATTTATTTTTATTTATTTTTATTTATTTTCATTTATTTTTATTTATTTTCATTTATGTTCATTTATTTTCTTTTATTTTCATTTATTTTCTTTTATTTTCATTTATTTTCTTTTATTTTTATTTATTTCACTTCCGAAAAAATTTACCATTTAGAGCAGAGTTAGTGTCGCACATATCGCAGGATTCTCCCTTCTTTTGTCGATTTCTTCCTGAGGACCGCATTGTTTCTTCTTTTCAGAACAACCCGCATAGTCGATAATATTACAGCATTTAAAATGTATTCCTATAATGATCGTATAAAAAGATGTCAAAAAAACCAGCATATAAATATAAATTTAAAAAAACGGTTTTGTGCTTAATTTTTTTTTTTGACTATATTTGTAAATAATTTCCATCCCCCCCTTTTTTTAGAATTTTTTTTTTTTAAACAACATTTCTCCCTTTACCCCAAAAAATATATCGATCATTTTTTTCCCTATTTAAATATGTTTAATATTGAATAGAAATCTATATATCTATATATGATCAATGATGTGATTCTGAAATATTATTTGACTTTTTAGAGTGAGAAAAAATATGAAAACGTTTTTTTTTGTACACAAACAGGTTAAATGTATCATTTCGCCTTTTCTTTTTTTCCTTTAGAAAATAATTTCCCCTAAATCGTTTTTCTCTATTTATTATTAAAAATTTTGGTTTTAAATAATAAAAAATTTATCAATTGTTTAATTTTCCTTTCTTTTTTTTTTGTAGCAACCAGTACATTTTAGTAAATTTTGTCAAAAAAAAATAGTAAATTCTTGTTTCGCGAAATAAATTTTAATGAATTGTTTTTTTTAATTTTCAGATACCTCGTATGAAAAGGCTTGCAGAAGAGGAAGTGCACCAGCCACTCCTGTTCTGGGTGCAAGACCCCTCGACGTCACTCCCAATCGAATTGTCGTAAGTACCACTTGATTTCTTCTCTTCTCCTAAAAATATCGATAAAAAAATTCCAATAATTGTTAAAATATAAAATAAATAAAATGGCCCTGTTTCTATAAATAAATATGTAAAAATTAATAAATAAAATAAAAACAAAATAAAAAACGAAATAATAAATAAAATAAAAAACAAAATAACGAATAAAATAAAAAATAAAATAGAAAACAAAATAATAAATAAAATCAATAACAAAATAATAAATAAAATAAAAAAATAAATAGATAGGTAATAAAATAAAAAAATTGTTTATAAAATAAAATAGTCATAAAAATGAGTGGAAATAAAAATAATAGTTATTAATTTATTTTTATTACAATTGTATTATAAATTGTATTATAAACAATTGTAAAATATAAAATAATAACAAAATTTATTATTTACTCGTTAGTTGTTATAATTAATATTATAATTATTATTTTTTTATAAATAGAGAAATTAGGAATATATTTAAAAAAATAATAGAGAGATCGATTTTCTTTCATATTATTTTTGTTATACTGATTTTCTGTCAGTCTCTAATTTCAATGAATTTTCAGGGCATTCACCCCAAGTATTAATAACTAAATGTCTATCATTTTAATATAATAATATTGATAAAATGAGTGACAGTGAATAACAGAATGAAAATAATGTCTAAAAATTTTTTTTATTAATAGATTTCAAATTACGAAAGTAATTTAAGAAGAAAATAAAATATGGAAATTTTATTTTTACACACTTATCCATCAATTTCACTTTCATCAATCATGATAAATTTTCTTTTTTTATTCACTTCCAAACCGTTTACAATTTTAATTCGAATTTAATTTAGTCCTTTAATAATGAAAAAAAATATATTTTCTGTTAACATTTTTTATGTGTGCCTATTATTTTTTTACTGTACGAAAACCAAGATCACTTACAAATTAAAATAAAAAATTTAAATAGATAATTAGCATTAATAATTGAAAGTAAAAAATTAACAAGAAAAATTGAAATAAAAAATTGAAATAGAAAATTGAAAATAAAAAATAAACATGAATAATTGAAATTAAAAAATTTAAGTAGAAAATTGAATTGGAAAATTTACGTAAAAAATTATAATTGAAATTGAAAATTTAAATCAAAAGCTGAAATAAAGAATTAAAATCGAAAATTAAAATGAAAAATTAAAATAGAAAATTGAAATAGAAAATCGAAATACAAAATTGAAATATAGAAAATTAACAAAGATTGAAATTAAAAAGTTAAATATAGAAAATGGAAATGTAAAATTAACGTAAAAAATTGAAATTAAAATTGAAATAAAAAATTGAAATTCAAAATTGTAATAGAAAATTGAAATAGAAAATTGAAATATAGAATTGAAATATAGAAAATTAACAAAAATTGAAATTAAAAAGTTAAATAGAAAATGGAAATGTAAAATTAACGTAAAAAATTGAAATTAAAATTGAAATAAAAAATTGAAATTTAAAATTGTAATAGAAAATTGAAATAGAAAATTGAAATATAGAATTGAAATATAGAAAATTAAAAAGTTAAATAGAAAATGGAAATGTAAAATTAACGTAAAAAATTGAAATTAAAATTGAAATAAAAAATTGGAATAGAAAATTGAAAATAAAAAATAAAAAAGAATAATTGAAATTAAAAATTTTAATAGAAAATTGAATTGGAAAATTAAGGTAAAAAATTATAATTGAAATTGAATATTTAAATCAAAAGCTGAAATAAAGAATTAAAATCAAAAATTAAAATGAAAAATTAAAATAGAAAATTGAAATAGAAAATCGAAATACAAAATTGAAATATAGGAAACTAACAAAGATTGAAATTAAAAAGTTAAATATAGAAAATGGAAATGTAAAATTAACGTAAAAAATTGAAATTAAAATTGAAATAAAAAATTGAAATTCAAAATTGTAATAGAAAATTGAAATAGAAAATTGAAATATAGAATTGAAATATAGAAAATTAACAAAAATTGAAATTAAAAAGTTAAATAGAAAATGGAAATGTAAAATTAACGTAAAAAATTGAAATTAAAATTGAAATAAAAAATTGAAATTTAAAATTGTAATAGAAAATTGAAATAGAAAATTGAAATATAGAATTGAAATATAGAAAATTAAAAAGTTAAATAGAAAATGGAAATGTAAAATTAACGTAAAAAATTGAAATTAAAATTGAAATAAAAAATTGGAATAGAAAATTGAAAATAAAAAATAAAAAAGAATAATTGAAATTAAAAATTTTAATAGAAAATTGAATTGGAAAATTAAGGTAAAAAATTATAATTGAAATTGAATATTTAAATCAAAAGCTGAAATAAAGAATTAAAATCAAAAATTAAAATAAAAAATTAAAATAGAAAATTGAAATAGAAAATCGAAATACAAAATTGAAATATAGGAAACTAACAAAGATTGAAATTAAAAAGTTAAATATAGAAAATGGAAATGTAAAATTAACGTAAAAAATTGAAATTAAAATTGAAATAAAAAATTGAAATTTAAAATTGTAATAGAAAATTGAAATAGAAAATTGAAATATAGAATTGAAATATAGAAAATTAACAAAAATTGAAATTAAAAAGTTAAATAGAAAATGGAAATGTAAAATTAACGTTAAAAATTGAAATTAAAATTGAAATAAAAAATTTAAGTTAAAAATTGAAATAAAAAATTGGAATAGAAAATTGAAAATAAAAAAGAATAATTGAAATTAAAAATTTTAATAGAAAATTGAATTGGAAAATTAACGTAAAAAATTATAATTAAAATTGAAATTAAAAATTTGAATCAAAAATGGAAATAAAGAATTGAAATCGAAAATTGAAATAGAAAATTTACATAAAGATTTAATTTAAAAATTGAAATTGAAATTGAAAATTTACATAAAGAATTGAAATTAAGAATTGAAATTGAAATTGAAAATTGTAATAGAAAATTGAAATAGAAAATTGAAAAAAAAAATTGAAATCGAAATGTGAAATAAAGAATTAAAACGGAAAATTGAAATGAAAAGGAATTTAATGCTAAGAAAAACATCATTGTAGACGAAATTCAAAAGGCAGACGTTGCAAATAAAATGGGGAGAGTGAGAGATACTGATCGATGAGACTGGAAACGACAAAACTAGTTTCACAAAAGTTCAAAAAGGAATAAGGGATCGACCCCAGAAAAACCCGAATGATTTTTTTAATAGATTGGCTTATCGCACATTTGCATTCTTATATATGAGTAAAGACTGAAAAATTACGTTTATTTCTCAGGTCACATCTCCTCTAACCCTTTTTAACCTTCTGCATTTTTCACTATATTCTCTCCCCTTAAAAAAACAAAAAATAAAAAAAAAATTTATCAGGTTATTATAATCTCCTTTAAATCTGTACTTTAAATCCTCTAAATTTCTCGCAGATTCTATCAGAAAAAATCTTCTTTATTATGCAAATTTTCAAAAAAGAGATGCTCTAGAAAAAATTGCTAATTTATTATTTATGAGCGTACCTTATAAATGGCCTAATTTATTCCAATGAAGAAAGTGTGTACTTATTTAATAGTAAATAAATAATAAAAAATAAATACTCTGCAAAAATTAATTAATTTACTGAATTTTCAATTAATTTAATTATGAATTGAAATATTATAATTAATATTATAAATATTATAATAAATATTAATTTAAATATTTTTAATTAAAAATTAAATTAATTATTAAATTATGAATTTATTTAAGGAATTTCCTTCTGACATTTTGTAATATTTCTTTTTTAGAACAAAATGTCTATTATTATAAGTTTAAACGTTGAATACTTAACTTGATGGGTCAATGGACCCGTTGATTCTGACTGAAATGAAACAGGGTCGCAGGGCATCGAGAACGGTTAATTATCGCAGGAATATAGCGAGCGACTAATTGATTTAGTCCTGTCAATTTTACAGTGCATCGTTTCCCCGTCACTTTCGAATTAATTAACACTGTTATATAACAGGGATATAGACACAAATTTTCTTCTTATTTTCATTTTCCCGTCATTCTCTTCAGACACAATGATGATAGATTATTTTTTTTCCGCTTCTATTAATTAACGTGTATTATATTAAATCACGTTTTATTTAAAAGAAAAATGTGTAAAAATAATGTAAAATTGGAAAAATTGAAAGGTAAAAAAATTTTCCATTTTTTTTACTTTTCCATAATAAAAATAAAAATTTGATAATAAAAAAGTAGAAAAATTGAAAAGTGAAAAATATGGCAAAGTAGGAAAATTGGAAAATGGGAATGTGGAAAAATTGGAAAAGTAGAATAATAGAAAAATAAAAAAATTGAAAAATTGAAAAATAGAAAAAGTAGAGAAATAAAAAAGGGAAAAGTAGAAAAATTAAAAGATGTAAAAGTAGAAAAATTGAAAAAGTAGAATAATAGAAAAATTGTAAAATGGAAAAGTAAAGAAATAAAAAACGGAAAAGTAGAAAAATTAAAAAATGGGAAAGTAGAAAAATTGGAAAAGTAGAATAATTGAAAAAAAGAAAAAGTAGACAAATAAAAAGGGGAAAAGTAGAAAAATTAAAAGGTGGGATAGTAGAAAAATGGGAAAAGTAGAATAATAGAAAAATAGAAAAATAGAAAAATTTATTGAAAAACGGAATAGTAGAAAAATTCAAAAATGGGAAAGTAGAAAAATTGGAAAATGAAAAAGTAGAAAAATAAAAAGGGGGAAAATAGAAAAATTAAAAAATGGGAAAGTAGAAAAATTGGAAAAGTAGAATAATGGAAAAATTGCAAAAGTAAAAAAATAGAAAAATGGAAAAGTAGAGAAATAGAAAATGTAAAAATAGAAAATATGAAAATGTCTTTACAGTGAAAAAATACACTTCGAAAAAAATACATGAAAAAATAACAATAAAATGTTAGATAAATAATAATAGTAAAGTGAATAAAACAATCGAACAGGATAAAGAACAAAGAAAATA